CAATGACCGTCAAGTTTACATCATCAACCGGTCTCGCTAGGGCCAAAACTTTAAATTTGAGGTAGTACGGGGCTCCACATAAGGTCCGCCCCGGGTCAGGAATATCCTTAGTCCGCCACTGAGCTAATCCACACGAATTAAATGCAGGTCCATTCTAAATAAGTAGTGAAAAATTAAATATTCTTTTTGTAGCTACTCCTCAATAACAATAAATTGTTCAAGAATAAAATTTCGGGGAGGGGGGGGGTGTATTGGGGCGCCAAATTTTTATTAGCCTAGGGCGCAAATAAGTCTTAATCCGCCACTGAGGGTCGGACTGGCCATATAGTCAGTGTCGCGATTGCCACCTGGGACCCAGACTTCGCGGGACCCCTTGTCTTAGGATTTACATGTTAAATAGTTCATTTATTTATTTTTAAATACACGGAAAAATAAATTGTAATAAACCCCACAATTATAGAAACTATTGTACTGACGTTGTAGCTTTTAGAGATGAGTAAAACTGCGATTCCCCAATCGCAATCGCGACTGTACATACAACCTGCGATTGCGATTTTAATATTTAAATATTGTACTTAGTGGAGTGCCCAGAGATTTTTACCTCGGAATTCAATTACTGTGAATGTATTAATGTAAAACTTTCTGTATTGTGTTTTATAGATAAAATACTAAAATGTTTACCAATTTTTTTTCGTTGCTTTTAATTTTTTATTTTAGTAATTTTAGTAAATTCTTAATTATTTCCTTCTTAATATTTTAATTTTTTTAATTCTTTTTCTAAGAAATTTATTGAAATAAATAAACCTAATGCATATTATGCACCTATTCTGCTTATATGCTAATCATTGAAATTTTGATTGAAATCGAATTATACAGTTGCGCGTCATATACGACGCGGTTTTTGCAACGAGAACAAAAGTTTGTATTGAAGTGAAATTTTCTGAGCTTTTGTAAGTCCATTTAAAGTATTTTCTAAAATTATGTTGAGTTCTACAGGGTGTCCCCAAAAAAAGCTACACATCAAAGTTATGTTTTTTGTAATGGAACACCCTATATATTAATTGATTTTGGGATTCTAGTAAAAAAATAATGGTTTGTTTCATTAGAAAATTATTTGACTAAAATGTATAGTTTTTGAAATACATTCACCGGCACGAAAAATGGGCATCTTAAAACTTTGATGTATATATTTAAAGGTTAATATATTTAATTATAATGGGCCGATTTTGATGATTTTTAAGCAGTATGTTGCCAAATTATTTGACTTTTTAGTATCTTTTTCTAAATTAAAATCCCCATCTGTTAATTATACGAGGGAAAAAAAATGTTGATATTTTTGATGAAAGTTTGAAACACCCTGCGAAATACGTTAAAACAGCAAGAAATTTAAAAATTATTTTATCATCTAGATACATCCTTTCTCGATGGTTTGTTTTTTGGTTCATTTCATTAGCTTTATTTTTGTTGGAAATATTCGGTTTTAAAGAAGGCACTAAGATCTTTCGTAATTTTTGCATTAAAACCATGCCTTTGCTTTTGGGCCTAGTCAACACATCTAGTAAGTTCTGGTCCCGAAACAGGCCTTCTTGACAGAAGATTTGCTTCATTTAATCTTCTTCTTGTAGTCCGTTAGTTAATATGTACGGTTCTTGAGTGCAACTCATTATCAATTTGAAAAGCTGGCAAACGGCGGTTTCTTAGCGATAAACTTACAATAAGTCGATCGTCTCGATTAGAAGTTCTCATACGAAGGTTCCCGGACATCCAGATTGACGTCCTCATGGACGTGGTCATAATTCAAAAACCACTTAGTATACTCTATGGTATTAAGGTATTTCTGGAACCAGAGTTTTATAGCAAAATTCACTAAACTCGAATAAATAAATTATATATATTTGATTCACCCTGTATATCTATAAAAATATTTTTGAAATGTGAACTACCATTAAACATATGCAGGGTGGTGCACCTCATTCGCCTCGGTTGATTATACGAAAATGGAAAGATGTAGAAACAAAATATTTTATGGATATATGTGAGGAGTCAATGTGTACAATTTAAAATTATTTTGAAATATACAGGGTGTCTCAGAACTAAGAGATCCATACCAAAGTTATATTTTTTCTTATGGAACACCCGGTATTTTAATTCATTTTTGGATTCTTGTTTAAAATCATTGGTTTTTGAGATATTTAAATATGCATGCTACAAGAGAATTGATTATTCAGACCCTGTACATTACTTTTCAGAATTAATTCTTGTGCTGAGTTTAAAGGCAAAGAAATAAACTTTACTGAAATATATTATTGCTTCCTTAAATTTATACAGGGGTACCAAAAATTAGGGATCTATTTTAAGGATTTATTTTACATAAAAACTTTGTTATTTCAAATGCAACACCCTGTATTTTTTTAAATAAATCGAAGCAGATTCATATGCTCTTTCAAACTATATTAGGGTTTCCTATACCTATCTTGCTCAGATTTTGAATAAAAAGCGATTTTTCAATAAAATGGCAATCAAGATAGCTGGTGTCGCGATGACAATTTGCTAGTGACAGTTAGTAACTATTTTCAAAATCGACATTCGTTTGTAGACTTTATTTAAATCTATACCAGTATACTTTTATTTAATTGACCTACAATACTTTAATAAATAATATTTATTAATATGTATTTATTATTCTCTCAAGAAAAACGAAGAAGTAGTTCTTTGTTTTATTTTACGATAACTTGTAGATACATCAATTTTTTATAAAAGAGCCAAATACCACAAATTCAATTCCTTCACTTCCAACGACAGGTTTCTGCCTAATAGGTTTTTTATAAACTACATTACCAATTCTACGAAATAGGAATTAGGACAAGTAGTTTTTCAAAGGAACGCTTATCAGGAAGATTCCTATTTGGATATTTTTGAGCATAGCTCTTGCTCTTGAGGCCAAGAAATATTTTTTCTTACAAAATAAAATCACTAGTAACATATCCATTCGTTCCACAACAGATATACTTTATTTTTTTATTTTTTTATTTTTCTGCATGAAATAAAGAATACTTACTTATTAAACTATTGTGGGTAAATTTTAGTAAACTGTTTAAATAATAATGTCCATACACTAATGTCGATTTTGAAAATAGTTACTAGCTGTCACTAGAAAATTGCCATGGCGATACCAGGCATCTTGATTGACATTTTATTTAAAAATCGCTTTTTATTCAAAATCTGAGATAGATAGGTATAGGAAACCCTAATATAGTTTGAAAGAGCATTTAAATCTGCTTCGATTTATTTAAAAAAATACAGGGTGCTGTATTTGAAATAACAAAGTTTTTATGTAAAATAAATCCTTAAAGTAGATCACTAATTTTTGGCACCCCTGTATAAATTTAAGGCAACAATAACATTTTTCAGTAAAGTTTATTTCTTTATCTTTAAACTCAGCACAAGAATTAATTCTGAAAAGTAATATACAGGGTGATGATAATCAATTTTCTTGTAGCATGCATATTTAAATATCTTTAAATATCTCAAAAACCAATGTTTTTAAACATATTTAACCCTTATAATAAATGCCTTTTTTTGGGCCTAAGAATCCAAAAATGAAATAAAATACCGGGTGTTCCATAAGAAAAAATATAACTTTGGTATGGATCTTAGTTCTGAGACGCCCTGTATATTTCCAAATAATTTTAGATTGTGCACATTGCCACCCCACATATACCCAAAAAATATTTTGTTTCTACATCTTTCCGTTTTCGTATAATCAACCGAGGCGAATGAGGTGCGCAACCCTGTATTTTGTAAAAGGTTTGGAGTGAAAATCTCAAATAGGAATCCTGATACAGAGCTTTTCTGGAAAAACGTAGCCATCTTGTATGTATGCATTTGTATATGTGTGTGTTTATTTAAATACTAAAGTGAAAGCAACGAATTTAAATAATTAAACTTTGTAATATATCTTATTAACAATACAATGCAAAAAGTTTTATAAAAATTCATTCACAGTAAATGAATTCCGACGTTTGTATCTCATAAGGGCTTAAAGCACTCCACTAACTAGGCATTCTATATTTTATTTAGAGTGCCATTTCCGATCGAATAAAGTAAAAAAATACCTAGGGTGCGATTTAAAAATCAAAAGTTGTATCTAGTCATTCCCTGTGAAACAGAAAGCGATCGAAACGAATTGAATCAATCAATCCTAATTTATGTCATATGCTTACACCTCGGTTTTTTATCAGAAAAAATAAAAAAGTTATGAAGGCGAGTCACTCTTGAGAAACACCCGGTATATTATGATCTTGGCTCTAGAAAATAATACCTTATCTATAAATAAATAAAATCAGGGAAAATTCAATCGCAGTTTACTATAAAATTCTTCAATTGTCCACAAAATTACATTCGCAACAAAATCGCAAAACGCAACTTCTAATAAAAAATCAAACTCGCAGATATAAGGTTGTCACGGTCCTAGTTTACAAAATCACAATCGCAACAAAATCGCAACTCGCAATTATAGTATTATTGGTTGCCTAAATTGCAACTCGCAAATAGAAGAAATCGCATATCGCAACTCGCCACTATAGTTATATTGCTTGCCTAGATTAAAACTCGCAAATAGAAGAAATCGCAGTCGCAGTTTCCTATGAGAGTCAATCGCAGGTTGCGATTGCGATGTTCGCTGCCATCGAATTGCAATTTGCGATTTGTTGCTTATCTCTAGTAGGTAGTAGTCATCATTTATCATCGAATAAGACTCTATGACAATACAGCCTTAATAGTATTATTTGTGATGTTACTTGACTTTAATTTTACCGAATTCAAAACCAAACCAAACTCGCCTAATTGCTCCACTCGTATAAACCGCGCTTAAATGCCAACAGAACAACAAAGCAGAAACCTCAACTTGGTCGGTCGATCGCAATGCTCATTGACCACCGCGCGCGTACGATCCCCCTAAAAATGCCGCTCTAAAAAAGCTCCCGCGACCAATCTCAGAGCTTGGTGTAGCGTGTGTATACGCTAACCGTTCGTTTCCATTCAGATTCGGCTCTTTCTTCAGTGCGCGGCCACTGTTGGTTTGATAAAGGTGCGCGGCGCGTCTCTTGTATCTGTCGGTCGTTTTTGATCGCTCGTCGCATCTCGCGTGGATGGAGCGACTGTTCGTGGACTGATTCCCCGATTGGGGATTAGAGAGGGATTTTATTTGGAGTATTTTGGGCTCGGTGAGACGGATTTGGTGGTGTTGTGACTTTTTTGGTTTGTCGATTCGATGGATTAAAAGTCTTTATGAATCAAGGTATATAAATAAATTTCATGCTAAATTTAAATATTTAGACTTATTATGAATTATATGAAGTCTCTCTCTATTATGAATTTATTATCTCTCTCTATTATGAATTTATTATCTCTCTCTATTATGAATTATATGAAGATATACAGGGTGGTCCGAACTATATTCCGGAAACTTTGGCAGAATATTCTGCACATAAAAATAAGTAAAAAAGTTCCTATAAACTTATGTCCTAAAACGCTTCGATCTTTCAAGATCTTTTCGAAAAAAATACTGAACTTATGTCGATATTTGGATGAAAATTGATATTTCTGGGTTTTTTAACATGATAAATTTGATTTTGATGTCAATATAACACCTACATGTAGGGGTTGGGTTGGGGTTGGCCCCATATTTTTTTATTGTTTTGAAGAGTAATGACTTTTTGTCCGTCCCAATATTACACTACTGAAAGAAAAAATGTACATTTACGCCTTATGTTACGTAAAAAATGGTAAAAATCGCTGCGAGCAACCGTTCTCAAGACATTTGGATTCTTAATAATCTATACATGCCATATATGACAAAAATTAAACATGTTCACTAGGTAGATATTTGAGTAAATTTAATTTTGGAAAAATCGTATTTTCCTTAAAACGAGTTAATGTTAAAGGTTCTACCGAAACCCGATGTTATCATAAATTTCCTAAAATTTTTTCCATTTAGAAAATTGACATGCATTGATTATTTCATATCCGAACACCAGTAGTTATTTTTTGTCTATAATAGTTATTTGTTGTAACTTTTACCAAGATACATCTAACGTAAAAATGACGAGAAAAACTTCTACTAGTAGTATACTTTTGCCAAAAGCGTGTTTTCTAGTCTTTAAAATAATGTAATAATTTTTAATTAGTGGATATTATTTGTAATAAGTAAGTAACTGAAATTGTTCTGAAAAATACCTCTTTCAGTTCTAAAAATAATAATAAAAACCACCCAAAATTAATTATGATTTGATATTATGCGCATTTTAAAAGGATTTATTTTATATTTTCTTCTCTAAAAAATCTGCTTGTGTTTACCCTAAATACGATATTTGAAATTTTTTTTTTCAATTTCTAGAAAACTTACAGTTAGGTTTTGAAACAGCTTTAATTGAATCTTGAATAGAAAAAAACACAAATGTATATTTTTTCACTCAGTAGTGTAATCCAGGGACTGACGAAATGTTATTACTCTTCAAAACAGTTAAAAAAGTTATCGTCGTTAATTTCACAAACTGACGTATCTCAAAAAATGCCTGTTTTGAGATACAGCCACAAACTCAAACCTAGAATTAGAATTAGATTAGAATTATTCCCCACAGCTTCACCGGTGATGTTTTTATTACTATTATTATCAGATCTCATAGTGTTCCTATGAGTCGCTAGGGACAGTCGGTCCACTTCTACAGAGCCCCGCATGTAGAAGTAAGGGGTAAAATACAATGGGGTGCCCCAAGGTTTGGTTTGGTTTGGTTGTTTCGCTGTGTTTTTTGCAATCTTCATTTTACAATCGTGATTGTGTATTTTTGAATTTTTTTGAACTTTGTTTTGTGTTTGATTTTTAAGATCTTTATTAAAGGTAAGGTTTAAGTTAAAGGTCTTTGATCTATCTAACAATTTTATTTAATAATCCGAGAAAGTGAGGTAACCTAACCAAGTCCAAATGTTCGTGAATTTTATTTTTTAACAATGTAATAATATTTTTAACAACGCCATATATTTTTACAAAAAAAAAATTGATCAACTCCATATTTTTGTACATAAACTCCACAATGTGATATTACACAATTGTTCAAGTCCATATGTAAAAAATACATGTAAATAAAACATTGTTTCTAATTGACGTCACTTTCTCTTGTATTCCAACGATATTTGTTATGTGTTCTTAAATCTGGTACTATAATAAATATTATACTTTTTAATCTGTTGTTTTATTTGTTTGTAAAACGTTTCGTGGTATTATTCTCTGTAAATTAAAATAAATTATTTATTGTAGGTTTTTATGCACATAAAATGATATAAGCAAACCATTTAACACTTTACAATAGTTTAACCTGGTTTAACCTTTATATATAAATCCTTGTTTTTTACCATTTGACTTGTTTGCCAACTTGGGACCAATCAGATGACTACACATTATTTTGTAGAAATCTGATTGGTTCTAACTGGCGAACAAGTCAATACGTCTTGCTTAAAAATAAATTGCATCTATTTAAATTTGCCGCCACATTTGTTACTTTCCTGGGTGGCTAGATGGCGCCACTTCTATATACAGATTACAGATTTCTTTACAAATTTGAAACCGTTTTGAAACTAAAAAATGCATGGGAGTTAGCGTTCTTCTTTAGTGTGTTCTGTGACTACAGTCAGGGACAAGACGATGAGTGAGATGCTTCTTAGACCAAGCCAAGTGCTAGAGGGGATTTCCCCCAGCACCTGACCAGAAGCTTCCCCATCAACGACAAGGTCTTGCATCTCCTAGGGGAAGAACTCAAACCTAATATGATACTCTTTCATCTCACGTGTCGTATCTCTGCGTCCTATACTTTTCCGGCAAGTAAATAATTTAGCAAATGTTTATTTACTTTAACCGATATCCAAAAGTTAACAAAAGCTTAAAACCTCCATTCTGGAAAACTATGAAATATGAGATACGACACTTTGTAAAATTAACGACGAAATGTGTATTGTCATCAAAATCAAATATCTCAAATTAAAAAAGCCCCAGATACTAATTTCATCCAAATACCTAAATTAGTGCAGGAGTTATTAAAAAAATCGAAATAAAAATGAAATTTCTACATCTCAGAAACGAAGCATTTTAGGACATACGATTTTTATTACTTATTTTTATGTGCAGAATATGCTGCCGATTTTTCCGGAGTACAGTTCGGACCACCCTGTATAGAACGAAGGATAGTTGATTACATAAAAAATAGATGTTTACCTATTTATCTTCCAGAATAAGGGATATCCAATTATGAAGCGTTTAATAATTATTAGACAGAAACCAACAATTTTCCCGATCTATTTCAATTTGACTTACAAAAACCAAAAACTATACCAATATGATTTTTTTGAGTTGTCGATTTCTATCACCGTTCTCTCTCAACAGAATATATATTTTTCTCTTTCTCTTAAGTGTTTTCGGTTATTTCTTAATACCATCATAATCATCCAACTTTATGGATCAATTAAAGTTGGGGGTTGAAACCTTTGGCGTTACATAGCAAAATAAAACACTAAATCACCACAATACACCAAAACACTTTTCTTTTACACTGGATGCGCATTTCGCTAACCATGTTAGCATCATCAGCACAACAAACGAACTATAATCGCTCTTCAGAATGAACAACGACGCAACGACGCAAAAAACTAAATTTTAAAATTAAAATGGCCAATTTAATAAAAATAATACAAAATAAATATCAATCTAATACCTAAGCAAAATATACAGTATGTTCCCGTATTTGTATTGTCTTTACAAGAGGAAAAACTTTTTTATTAATGATATTTTGAGAAAATGCATTCTTACCTTTTTGCATTTTTCTTTAAAACGGTATGGAAATTTGGAAAAGTAAAGATGAGATTAACCATTTTAGAACAGGCATTTTTAACATTGAAAATGTTTCTGTTATCCGATATAAGGGAGCCCAAATCGAATTAAAATGCTACATTTGCCACACCATGACGTCATATATACAAGGGTATAGGAAATCTCGGCGCAGTGGCGGCAGTCGGCCAGCGCGCGCAAAAACCATTACATCGCTAATTGCATTGTTTATTGATATATCTTTATTAGTTTAAAAGCAAAAAATATGGGGTTTGCTTTGATACTTTGTCAAGACATAAGCGAAACTTTTAAATTGTTTCTTTTTTTCATTTAGGCCTTCGTTTTTCGTTAAATGAAAGTTATATTAAAAAAAGTCTATTTTAAACCAAATTTTCGCATGATTGAAATGGGTTATTCATGTTTAAAGTTTTTTTTGGTCATAAGCGCTAATGGAAATGTTTTTTTGTAAATAATTATAAAAAATTACTCCCTACGAAGACTTTATTGTGTACTGGATCAAAAAATAAGTATTTGTTTTCTCTATACGGTGGTATTAATATATCGATTTTTGATGATAGTGCCCTTTTACCCGGTCTAATTTTGTACTACTTTCGGAATAAGGCTCCCCATATCATGTACTGTACTTCCATCCCTGAAAAATTCAGCTTGTGACACCGAAGTGAGACGTAAAGTCAAAATAAGCTTTAATCTACCTACATTATAGGTAGGTGGAGGTACTCTAGGTATATTCTACCTAGACAGTAGCTGACAGTAGTTATTAATTTGTTATCCGATAAGTAGTTGTCATTATATAAGTTTAACCATCTTATACCTCCTATAACGGTAGGTTTTGGATTTTTTCCTGAATGGTTTGTTAAACAAAAATATACTGGGCATATAAATGTCTAACACAATACATGTATTGAATGTACTTATTTTAACCAATGCATTGTTTTGTTTTTTTAATCTCACAAATAAGAAATATTTTATAGTTTTTATTATAAAAAACAGTGATTATACAATTTATTTGCACCCCTTACACTGTTTTCTGTAAGGGGTGTAACCAGGAGTATATTTTGTAACCTCTTACGATATAAGAGGGCTCCCACAAAGTGTTTTATTACTTAATGCTTAGATTAAAATTTAATAATTATATTTGTATATAAAATAAAATAGACTAGAAAGTCAATTAATTAATATTGACGTAATTACTAAATAATTACAGATAAGTTTTTTTTTCTAATTATTTTAGTGTATTTTTAGTCACCTAATTATAAAGGAGAGATATCCAACCATTGCATTATTTTACTCACAAATAAATGTTTTATGGTTTTTATTATAAAACAAGGATTAATTTATTATATACCCCTTAACCCAAACACTCCAAGGAGGATATTTCGTGACCCCTTATTTAAAGTGGACAA